AAAGACGCCCGAACTCTTAGCTTTCCATAGGAGTTAAGTCCGTGAGCCGGCGGCTCTTCCCTCCCCACCCCCTCGCGTGCTGAGCGACGCTGGTGACTGGCAAGACATCTGTCCTTGTTTTGCTGGGCCGTGGGCCCCGCGTCCCCGGAGAGGGGCTGGTTTCGAGCCGCGGCGGGTCGGCCCTGGCAAACGCAGCCGGAGGTTTACGTGTGACCTGAGTTCTCGCGGGTATTTTGTGTGGCATCGGATACCCGCGTTGCTCGGTGCACCAAACTCCTGCTGGCTCGTGCCAGCCCAGCCCAGCTGAGCGTGGGGGCGGTTATACCGAGCTAAAAGTGCTGGCGTGGGTCTACCTGCTGGAATAAACTCCCCCAGGGTAGGGCCCCTTTCATAAAGGGAGAGAAGTCCCCACGCGTCTAGATTTTGCAGGCTGCTCTCCCAGTACAGGCCCCGCTCCCCAGCAGAACGGCCCGGCACCCTGGAGAGAATTGCACCGTATCAAATCCCCCCTGCACTGTTTTGCTGGACCCAGCCTGGCTCGGGCTGGAGCTGCAGCCGTAAGGACTGGATTAGGCTCTGAGCGGCACCGGGCCGTGGTGGGGACGGGAATCGTAGCCAGCAGCTGATTCAAACTGGCGGGGGTGGAGCAGGGGCCCCCGTCCGGTTGAAAGGGACGAGGGTGGGGATGGGAGGGTCCCATCTCCGGGAGGGAGGGCACCCGTCACTGGGCGTCTGGGTGCCGGGCCGGCTGTATTTATATCCCCAGCTCCTTTTGCACCGAAAATAGGCGGCCGGCCCTCGTGTTCTTGGCAGGAGCCCTGTGCCCGAGGGGAGGCTGCCAGACCAATTAGCTGGCGCGTCGGGATCGGGGAGCCGGGGGGGGGCGGGAGATGGGCGGTGGGGAGATGGGCGGGAAATGTCTCTTCAGTGACAGTGCAGGGGGGAAGGAAGGGAGAGAAGAGGCCGCTGGGCATTCTGGGACTGGGCCTTTCCTTAGGGGACTTTGATCTTTCAGATTGGCGGGGGCAGGGAATGGGATGTGGGGATGTTTCCCTCCGAGCTGGTCCCATGGCTCTAACCACTAGTCCCCAGCACCTCCCAGAGCTGAGGAGAGAACCCAGGAGTCCTGGCTCCCAGCCCCCCTGCTCTAACCACTAGACCCCACTCCCCTCCCAGAGCCGGGGAGAGAACCCAGGAGTCCTGGCTCCCAGCCCCCCTGCTCTAACCACTAGACCCCACTCCCCTCCCAGAGCTGGGGAGAGAACCCAGGAGTCCTGCTCTGAGCACTAGACCTCACTCCCCTCCCGCCTCCATCAACCCCCCTAGGCAATAACTGCCCCTGTAGAGGGAGGTTGAGGGCAGGACAGGACAGGGAGATGGATTCCCCCCCCCAGCGCATCTACCCCGGGATCCCGCCCCCTCTCTGCCCACTGGCCCATCTCCCCCGGCGTTGGCAGACTCCCTGCCTGGTGCCCGCTGAGCTGGGGGGGAGGTGGGGGGACGCCCGGCCAGACGCGTCATGAGGGGCCGGGGGGGACGACGACGGGACGGACGCAGCCCGACCTGTGGGTCTCAGAGGCATTCCTGGCATTCCACAGCACAGACCACAATTATGCTGAGAGCACCCCCCCCCCGCGCTCCCGGCCCCGCTCGGCCCCCTGGCCCCTCCCCCGGCCGGGGGGGGAACCCGGGGGCCCGGGCCCCCAGCCCCCCCCCCCCCATCACTACACCCCACTCCCCTCCCAGAGCCGGGGAGAGAATCAGTCATGATGGCCAAAACCTGCTTGTGTCTCCTAGGGATTATTTCCCCCTGAGGCATCGGGGCCTGCCCTACCTGCCCAGGGAGAGCGCCCCCTGCTGAGCCCCCCGCTCCCTGCAGCCCAGCGCCCCCTAGTGCTGCCCTAGGGCATTGGGGCCAGTCCTGCCTGCCCAGGGAGAGCCCCCTGCTGAGCCCCCCGCTCCCTGCAGCCCAGCGCCCCCTAGTGCTGCCTTGGGGCATCCGGCCCAGCCCTGCCTGCCCAGGGAGAGCCCCCTGCTGAATCCCCCGCTCCCTGCAGCCCAGCGCCCCCTAGTGCTGCCCTATGGTATCGGGGCCAGTCCTGCCTGCCCGGGGAGAGCGCCCCCTGCTGAATCCCCCGCTCCCTGCAGCCCAGCGCCCCCTAGGGCTGCCCTATGGTATCGGGGCCAGCCCTGCCTGCCCGGGGAGAGCCCCCTGCTGATCCATCCCCAGGGCAGTCCGGTGGGTCCAGCCATGTCGTCTCTCCTCCACGTGCTGACCTGGCCAGAACCTGCTTCGCCAGCTTCCCCACTTGGCAGCAGCGCAGTGGCAGGGGGTTCCCCAGGTGTCTCAGAGGCCTCTGGCTCAGCCGCGGCGCGCCCGGCAATGCCCGCTCCGGGCACTGATTGATGAGCTAATTAATGGGCTGGCTGGGCACAGCTGGCGGGAGAGTGGGGGCTGGGCTGGGTTCCCGTCCCTCCCAGGGCCAGGGTGTCGGCTGGGACGCAGACAATCACTGAGGTCTGGGTTCTCTCCCTGGCTCTGGGAGAGGAGTGGGGTCTAGTGGTTAGAGTAGGGGGGCTGGGAGCCAGGACTCCTGGGTTCTCTCCCTGACTCTGGGAGAGGAGTGGGGTCTAGCGGTTAGATCGGGGGGGCTGGGAGCCAGGACTCCTGGGTTCTCTCCCCAGCCTGGGCGGATGTGGTTGGAGCAGGTGACTCTGGAATTTGCACCCTGCCCTGCTGAGCCGCCAGATCCACCTGCCTTGGGTCTGGGCCAAAGGGCGGGGGGGGGTCATACCTGCCTCTTTGCTCCTTGTTGGGGAATGAGCTGAGCTGAGCCCTGCCCTGCCCTGGGGCGGGGGGACGGGACGACACACCAGCCAAGATACAAAGTATTGACGCGTCCAAGCAGCGGGGCAAGTGACCCCCCCCAGCTCTGCCGGTGCCCCTCACTCCCAACCCGCAGCCCCTGC